ATGTTAGCATCTAGGTTCAAAAAGTTGTGCACCTGTTTTACTTCGTATCAAGATATTCCAGCAATTCTCCTACTAATGCTACTATATGTTTTTCAGGTTGGTAAAAACATCCGTTATACACGATCGATTTTATTCAATATCTATACTTAGATATTATTCTTTTTTATCCGGTTCTGTAAATTTTCATGTTGGGGCCTAAAATATGTACATATAAGCTATTTTTGTTACACAAATCGACTGAATTTTGTCAGCGTACACATTTGCTGACCATGGGCAAAATCTGTCTGTACTTTTATTTAGCTGAAAGGACCAAGGGGCTGAAATGCCTGTTTTCACCGTAAACAAGAGTTTCATTACTTAGGAGGGCAAGGTATTTGACCTTAAGTAACTGTGTAGAGACGTTTGTTGTCACTCTCTGATTGAATGATTGTGGTTAATATATTGCCTTTCCAAGCCACAAAAATTCGAGTTAAAGGTAACTACAAGATACCCTAACAGTTGTAATTGGGCAATCTAAATTCGACTATTTAAGTGAAATACACATATTTCTATGAAGATTTCGGCACATGAAGCCTCATACGATGGCTAAAACCATTAAAAAATGCCATTGGCACTATTTTCTGAGTATTTTTTTTAACGTATTTAGGCGAGACTCTAATTTAGGGACGAGGCAATCAGAAGCGTTTGAGCAATTTCAAGGTCACGGAGCCAAGTTCAACACGCGCTGCTAACATACGATCGGTTCACAGCGGATTTTAGAGAGTAGGTGATTAATGAGAGGTTACAACAGATAGGACGGCGAGGCTCTAATTTAGGGACGAGCCAATCAGAAGCGTTTGAGCAATTTCAATTATTAGTCAATCAGAAGACAGCATAAAGTAGAAATATATTAAAAGAAAGTAATAAATTACAGTGGATATTCTTCTTTAACATGATTTAAAAACTCGTATGTTAGCATCCTAACCCTAACCTTAACCCTCACCTTACCCTAACCCCAACCTAACTCTAACCCTAACCCTCACCTAACTCAAATGGTTGTGGACGGAATAGAAGAAGCTTTCGCTTAACAGGCTTCCGTGTCTAGTAGCATGGGATCACCAAATCCTCCAGGCAGGAACCTAGGTATGTTAACAATAAAAAAGGAGAAGAAATTGGTAAATCATAATGTGATGCTGTCCTTGGTCCTTAAGAATAGGTCAAGTTGCCTCTTGAAGGACTCCTGAGAAGTCGCTTGGACTAGCTCGACCGGCAGCGAATTCCAGCTTTTGACAACTCTTAAGGAGTAGAAGTTGTGTCTACATTCCGTCTTGCTATGTTGTGTTTCCAGTTTCTGGGTGTTACCCCTTAGGTTATTATTCGAACTAAGCTTAAGTAGGTGTTTAAGAGGATGTCCAGAAGTGTTAAGAATGCTGTAAGCCATTAGTAAATCACCTCTAAGACGCCTATATTCTAGTGGGTAAAGGTCTAGTGAACGGAGGCGTTCTTCGTAAGGCTTAGATTTGAGTCATCGAACTGATTTCGTGGCTCGCCGTTGGATACGCTCCAAAGTGACCTTGTCCTTTTGGAGTGAGGGGGGGAGTACTATGTTTCCGTACTCTAAATGGGGACGGATGAAACTATTGAAGATTGTATGGAAAGTTCGTCCGTCAAACTGTCCAAAAATGCGCTTCAACGTTACCAGTGCAAGGTGTGCTCGGAAGGCATTTTTGTCACAATTAGCGTAAGACTTTATGTCATGGGGCACCAGGACTCCTAAATCTTTTTCGACTTTGAATACTACTAGAGAGGAGTTTCCTAAGTTGTAACTGTAGTTTGCGACATGTCGACATGTCAAGTCTTATGTGCTGCAATTTCCGGAACACCAAGTCAGCGCTTAGGTCCACTTCATATAGTCCTGTGGAGTTAGAAATGAAACTGTCGTCAATAAAGTTGATGTCAGCCGGTTGAAATGTTTGAGAGTAATGGGCCGCCAGAAGGTTAGCGGCGTCGCCATCGTTGTTGGTCGGGCCGTTAAGACCTAGCAGTTGAGAAACTCCTGTTTTGGCTTGACGAAGAGAGGCTGCATAACGGAATAGGCTTCTAGGGTTAGAGGCGAATTTGTCCATAAGCTTTGTTTGGTACTGAAGCCTGTCTTCTCTTATAGCCTTCGTGCATGTGTTCCTGATATGTTTGTATTGCCTATACGCTCCATCGTTATTAGTTCGTTTGTATTCCGCCCAACAGTGCCGTTTGCGGCTTAGGAGGCGAAGGGTACGGTTCTTGATTACTGTAGGTGGCTTGAAGCTTTTGGGAACCGTTTGAGGAACTGAATGGTCTGTAGCACATAAGAGCGTGTGCAGTAAGAAGTCCCAATGACCATCCACATCGAGTTGAGGGTGAACATCCCAAACCACCTGTTGTAGATAATCATGTAGAGCTGGCACATTCAGCCGTTTAAAATTCCAACGCAAATTATTGTTGGGATACCTTAGCTTAGTTTTGATGACAAAACTGAAGGCTATGACGGCATGATCGCTTTTTCCCAGAGGAGCCAGGATTGAGAGGTTGTCGACTAGGAATTCTTCGTTAGTGAATACACAGTCTAAGCGCGATGGTGTCTGACTGTTTCTCCAACGAGTTGCCGACCTCACATTTTCATATAAGCCCAAGTCATCGATGAGGTTGAAGAACCGAGCTTCAATTGAGTTGTCGCCTCCAGTGTACGTGTGTTCCGCGAAGTTGACTCTAGGGAGATTAAAGTCCCCTAGAATCAGGATGTGTGTGAAACCGAGACGGATAGAGCGGGATAGTCCTTCCAGCATACGGCTATCGTACTCGGTGTCGGCAGTTGGCTTCCTGTAAATGACTCCGACTAGACACCCGGAAGTACTAGACAATCTTACAGAGCACCATATGGATTCCTCAAGATTGTTAAACTCGTGGTTGTGAATCTGGTGCACCTCCAAGCAAGAGCTTATGTATATGGCTACTCCGCCCCCAATTCCTGTTTTTCTGTCGTTGCGGAACAAAGTCATCCCAGGTAATGCTAACTCTTGGTCCGAGAACTGAGAAGATATCCAGGTTTCAGATATTCCTATCAGATGGGCCTTATTAGCGTTGCTAAGTTCACGTAGTTCATCCAGTTTGTTTGGTAGACTCGCGGCGTTCATATATAAGCAGTTTATGCTTTCAATTTGGAACGCGTGAGCTTCGTCCCGTTTTTCTGTATGAACCTTATGTGAATGAACAGGTAGCCCACCTATATGAGGTTTGCCGAGGTGGTAGGCCCTGTCCTTTACACGTTTTTTTTTATCGTTTAGACAGTCCACAAGTGGAATGGTCAGCTCCAACTTGTCTTTGTTCTTGGTCCTAACTTCGTATGGCCTAACCGGGTGCATGTGGATTCCAGGTGGCAATCGACGTCTATTAGCACGAAATGCTTCCAGAACTGCAGCCGCCATGTGGGAAGATGGGAAGGTTATCTTCATTAGACGGGGTCTAAGATCACCGTCCTTCTTGGCTAGTCTCGTCACATGCTGAGTCAGTATGTGTTTGAGCCTCAAGGACTGTTTGATGAATTTCCATTCCCTGATGTCAGAATTTGATTGAGTAGGGTCTGCATTTTCCGGTATACCTTGGACATTTATGTTTCTTCCGCGGAAAAACTTCTCGCGAGATTCTTTAGGGACGTTTCGTATGATACTGCGCTCAGAGTACGGTATGTCGGGCAGTATTCTTACGTTACCATCTGATTTCAGCAAGTGGCTTGCTAGCAAGACGTCCTCTACGTCGGTAGCAGCCTTAAGTGTTACTCGGAGAAGCCTCGGGTGATTTAGATGCTTAGAATCCTTTCCTCGAGTGAGCCGAGTGACCGTCAAAGGCTCTATTCTAGGAAGTTCGAGCTTCTTGTTCAATTCACCCCACAGCATCCTGTCGTTTTTGTCCTGCAGACTGAGAGGAAGATCAGGATTGTCAACGAGGTTCATGATAATGAGAGAATCGTCACGAACTGTTGTTAATTTACCAGGTTTCACGATGGGTTCAGGTTTAGTAACTTGTTGTTTGGAGGTCAGTGTGCGTTTATGAATCATGGGCTCTTTATTGACCGAACTCTAACCCTAAACTCTCACTTAACCCTAACCCTAAACCCTCACCTAACCCTTAACCTTAACCCTCAACTAACCCTAAACCTTGACCCTAAACCCTCAACTAACCCTAAACTCTAACCTTAACCCTAAACCCTCACCTAACCCTAAACCTTAACCCTCAACTAACCCTAACCCTAACCTTACACGTAAACCTAAATCTAACCCAATAGACGAGTTTCTATTCCATATGCATTGTGAATTCAGAACCTCTGAACCTTAATCAAACCTTAACAAGTTTTTAAATCATGTAAAAGAAGAATATCCATTGTAATTCATTACTTTCATATAATATATTTTCACTTTATGCTGACTTTGTTCTGATTGGCTAATAATTGTCAAGGTCACTTAAGATTCGTTCAAAGGTCGTCCTTAAATTAGAGTCTCGCCGAAATGCCCTTCGTTGTTGTAGATAGTCTTTTTAAAATTATAATGTTGGCACATTTGGTGCCAATGTTCCAATACTACTCACACATTGCTAAAATATATTCCTATTTGAGATATCAATGAGACTCAGCTTTCCGAACACTGTCTTATTGCGACAACTGATTTGGTGATTTGATTATATCAAAGCGCTTTATGGAAGATCATTGGTTTTGGTGTGTTTTATAAATATTGGTTTGTTAGCTTAGTAAAGACCGTGAATATTCAACTGCCTTGATAAAAAACTTGTAAAAGCAGAGTTAAATACTTTAAGAGAACACAGCCTTTTAAAGTTAATAACAGTTAGTGAATAATGCCTATGGTAAAGTTCGTAAAACCAAGTGTTATGATACGATATTTGGTACAAACACCGTATTTTAGGGAGAAATTGTTGGTTTTAATTTTTGCTGTACTATTTTCGACAAATCCAAATTATTTATTAATTTTTAATAGGGCATTTCTATCGGCATTTCTGCTTCGATTCCATTTCTTCTTCAATCAAATTACCATACCGGTGGCTATAATTTACAAGCAACATTTTCAATATCAGCTTGGCCTTTTGCTATGAAACTTCTCTGGGCTCCAATAGTTGATTCAATTTACGTCAATTTTATTGGAAGACGGAAGACGTGGCTCATAATAACTCAGTATGCAATTGGAATAGAGTTAATTGTGCTAGCAAGTCGTATCGATGATTGGTTTGGACGAGACCCCAACAAAGCGTGGAGTCAGTTGGGATCACATCATCCAGTTGCTATAATACCCTTAACTATAACATTTTTCGTACTTACATTTCTGACAGCTACACAAGATATTGCGGTTGATGGCTGGGCCTTGACATTGCTATCGAAGTAAGTTGTTTTATATTTGTTATTTTATGTATTTGAACACAAACATTAGTACGAGGGGGCACAAAATACATGTACGCCACACAATAACAATGAGATTGAAGTAACAGAGAATGTCAAGTGCGTATAATAAAAAAGGATAACGGACAGAAATTAGTGTATGATAGTGAAATAATAATGGAGGAAACAGTTCAGTTAGGAAAAATACAACCAGAAAGCAGTTGCGTTCATTTTTATGAAGAAAGTTACAGCGGTGCCATCACTGTTTTCCATTCTGAGCCATGTCTGATAAAGTCTCCAGCCACTATGTTGCACGATCTCTATGACGCCAACCATGGAGTCGTGAGGGACCAAGAGAAGCCAGTCCTGTACAGCTTTCTTTCATACCACGACACCATGTCATACACTGACTATCTCGGCGCTTTTTCCAACCGGCCCGAGCGTCGGCAAATAATTCACGATGTGGAGGAACAGAGTCCTGTCAGTTTTATGAAAGTACTTTTCACTTGGAAGGTACAAAGCACATGCCATACATACGGAAACTGATTGCCAACTGGCTGAGTGCGGATTGCATGGCTTGGGTATCATCGCACAGTAAGACAATATCATTCGCATACTCAAGGTCGAAAAGTCTTTCTCCAGACGACAGATCCGCACCACCATTACCTACATCCACCAGAGCTGTTTCCAGAACGTCATTGATGGCGAAGTTGAGGAGGAATGGTGAGGTTGGGAAACCCTGCTTATCGATATCAGTAGCATACACCACAGCATCACTAATGCCAAGAAGCAGTACGGTAGTTGACCTGTGTTAAGTATGACGGTGTTTTAACACTTGTCGGAGGGTGGAGATATGATCAATACATCCTCGATCAGAACAAATGCTATCCTGCTCCTCGCGAGTCAATCTTTCTCGGGTTTTGAACAACCTACGAAATATGACGTAAGTCAATAGTTTGGACGCGATCGGAAGTAGACTTGTCCTCTTTTGGTTTTTGCAGAAACGATGTGAACCCTTTCTAAAGATAGGAACAACTATCGACTCATTGCATGATGTTGAAACACCCTCTAATTGCCAGACGTTTGTAAACAACTCAGTCATTTTCTTAACCAGAAGGTCGCCACGATCCTTAAAAAGGGCCGGAGCAAGTCATATGGGCCTGTTAATTTGTAGCGCTTGAAGAGTTGAAGTTTCTTTACAGACTTCTTTCTTGTTCAGTGGATCAGTCGTCACAGGCCATGGAGAGCAGGACAGTCAGATCGATGTTGCCGGGGCAGCGAACCGGTTGAACTGCTCCTCGAAAAACTCTGCCCATCATCCGAGATGTAGGTAGATTTTAGTGAATGGCATCTTTTCATCTTTACAGGTTGTTTTACTCACTCCAGACTTGTCGCTGCCAGTGACTCGGATGAGTTGAGAGATCTTCCGGCAGTCACCAGATGCAACTACTGCTCCCAACTCGTTGGCATGCTCCTACCACTAGGCTTCTCGGTCCTTTCGCAAGCTTTGCACAAATTTACCGCGTAAAAGTCTTCGTTTGTGGTCAAACTCGTTGTCACTCGGAGTAGACCGACGAACTTCAATGAGTTGTAAGGAGCGTGAAGAAACCCATTGCCTATAAGCGGGACGTTTCGCGAAGCGTCATGCGATTTTACTCGCCATTTTCATGGTGTCATGCAATTGCAACCACTACTCATCCATACATTTCAGTGGGCTGGTAGCTGGCCTTGAACCTAGCTCTGTTTGATATTTCGTTGCAACAGCAGCTGCAACCAATTTGCTGAGATCGATCCGTTTCGGACGATGAATTTGTTGGCCACTGGAATGTGAGGTAAGATTAGCGCAAAGAAGGGCATGATTAGAGTTGAGATAGGTACTCCAAAAAGGAGCAGTAATCTTGTACACAACCACGGCAGGTGTATATGATGGCGATGTGATCAATTTGAGTTCAGGTTTGTGATGCAGAGGTAGGATGCTGGGTAGCACATCGGCGATTACTGTGTCAGTAGTGCGAGCTAGCCATAAACAGATTGTAGTCTGCGTACAGTTGTAGTAGACAGTTGAGCTGCTCCTTAAGGTATTCTGGCCATTGTTCTAAACATTTAGACCGAGGGCATATATGGTTGCCGTCTTTTTCCGAGATTGTCTCACTTACACTAGACTTTTGATCCCGGTTTCTTTTATTATTCTGAAAAGTTGTCTTGTGTTACCTGCAGTTAATTCCTCCTTCATCTTTTTGCTTCCGTTGCCCATCACTGCTCGCGATCGTTCTGTAGACTATTGGTCAACCTTGAATGATTTGTTTTCTTTCTTCATGGTGTTCAGAGCCTGATGTGGTAAGTTTGCGAGAGTCCATCAGTGCAATAGATGTTGCAGAAATTCACTGGTTTTTCGTAACCCTTTGGTTCAATTCACTAATAGATGTTGCTGCTGTTTCCACAGCTGATCGTATACCTTCCTAAGCAACATTTGGATCAGCCCCTTTTTCAAAATTGCCTAAGTATGACTTCGTTTTCTCTTGGAACTTGTCTTGCCTTTCTCATTACTGAGTCCAACTCTAATGGGTCTTTTTAATGTAGCTTTTTTGAGTCCAGTGAAGCACAGGCAAACGCATCTATTACATATTATTACATTTTAAGAGGGAAGAATTATAAAACAGTAAATTATTTATATCTTTTGTTTTTAGACATTTGATTTTATTAAACTAGGTGCAATTTACGAGTCAGTGATAACTATCAAAACAGCTGAGGTAGAATAATATGAATTCACTATTATTTCGTGGTTTCTTATCAGCTGCTTGCAACCATATATGGATTAAAAGGTAATATTGAGGTATGGTACAATGGGATACAGTTGACGTAGATTACGTAAAGAATTAGATCAATTGCATGGGATAACAACCAAATAGACAAAATAATTACTAACCATGATAAGTAGAAAGTATAAGTCGATGGAGTGATGCTAGGTGTAATGGTTCTGATAAAATAATGAAGATTGGATTTAGTGTTTCATAATTGAAACTAGGTCAGAAAACTGAAAAACACCGAAATAGTAGAAACTTTAGTGGTTCAACCATTAGGTCAGAACTTTGAAATTTTTTCAACAAAACTATATTGTAACTTGAATAGTCCAACACTAGTCAGCATTGGGCGTCGTGGTAATCGGTGTTCAGGTATACGAAACACGTGGCCCAATCATTTCAGTCGATGTAGATACACAACCTCATCAACTGATTTACCATCATTCCCTAATACCCTACGTCTAACCTCACTATTACTTACCCGGTGATCCCAGAAGACGCCAGCAATATTTATAAGGTATCTGTGATCAGATACTTGTAGCTTACGAGTGTCTTCTACTCTTAATGGCTATGTTTCGCTGCCGTAAATTAAAACAGAACGGATTGCCGCGCAGTATACTCGTCCTTTTATTGATAGACGGATGTCTCGCCTTCACCATAGGTGACATGAATTGGCAAAAGCCAAACGGGGTTTTCGAATCCGTGCTGAGATTTCGTCAGACACCAACCCATTAGGGTTGATCAGACTTCCAAGATAAGCGAAGTTGTCGACGCGTCCGACTACTTCACTCCCTATCCTTAGTTCAGATGTTGACGCAGACCAGTCCTGAAGCAGCAGCTTGCATTTAGAGGGAGAGAAGTGCATTCCAAACATTCTGGCACTGTTGCTTAGTGCTACCAAAAGACTCTGCATTTTATCAGCGTCTTCACCAAACAGGACTATATCATCTGCGTATTCTAAGTCGATAAGTGGACCTCCTGGAAGGAGATCAATACCCGAAAATTCAGTAAACGAGAATATTATTTCCATCAGTAGGTCTATGATGAAGTTAAGCAAAAATGGAGAAAGTGGACAGCCTTGACGGACACCACTTGAGGTTGCAAAAGCAGATGACAGTTCGCTATAAGCCCTGACTCGACTAGTAGTGTTCGAGTAAAGAGTCTTCACAAGGTTTATGTACTTCTGAGGTACGCCTTTCAATGACAGACACTACCACAGAAACTCGTGGTCTACAGAGTCAAACGCTGCTTTTAAGTCAAGAAAGTCCACCATCGTCGGACGCCGATAAGTATGCCTGTGTTCTAGAACCTGACGAATGGTGAATATGTGGTCGATGCAGCCACGACCAGGTCTGAAGCCAGCTTGGTTCTCTCGTGTTTTACTTCACGAGTCTTAGTTAGGCGTCTGATAATTATCGAGGCCAGTATTTTAGATACTATGTTTGTTAAACTAATCCCTCTATGCTTGTCACAGGATGATTTTGACCCTTTCTTATATATTGGGACGATAAGTGATTGTGACCAGTCAGATGGAATAACGTCTAACTCCCAGATCTTAGCTAAAATTTTAGTCAACCTAATCTTTAAAACTAAACCACCATCCTTAAAGACCTCTAAAGCCAATGCATCTGGACCAGCTGCCCTTCCTCGTTTCAGATTAACTATAGTCTTTTGAACTTCAGCAAGAGTTGGGGGACCTACTTCAATGTTCCATTCACATTGTCTGGGAATGGAGGGTAGTTGTAGAGTAGCTGAAAGCCAGATGAACTGTTCTCTAAAATGTTCCGCCCATCGTTCTAAACGTCTGGACTGGGAGCAGATGAGAGTATCATCTTTTTCCGAAATAATCTCACTTACACTTGACTTATTAATTCCAGTTTCTTTTATTAGTCTATAGAGCTGTCTTGTGTTCCCTATAGCCTCCGCCTTTTCCATCTCTTTTGCTTTCGCTGCCCACTACTGCTCACGGTCGTTCCTTAGACTTTTTCCTAACCTAGATCTGATTTGTTTTCGCTCTTCATCATGTTCAGAGCCTGATTGGATGAGTTTACGAGAATTCATCAGTGCAGTAGACGTTGAGCCATGTTGTTAGATGCAGACTACTTTTTTGCGTTCCGTGCGACTATCGTAACGAGTGGTTTGAGACTGGGTGACGTGGCTCAGAATCGATCACAATGACGTAAGTGTATACGCTCTTTGTCTTCCCTTAAACCATGAGATTAAAATTACTTTATACATACTCTCTACGAACCAATCCTTTATCCCTGTATCATTTCCTCGTATGCAATATTTAGTTATGTATTACTACCACTGAAGTGAGTACTTCTATGGATTTCCTCATCTTCTTTTACTGTTGAAATATGGCAACTTAGACCAATGCATTTATGTAACTGATTCTGTATTTTAGGTATCTGACGGACTGATTTGAATGAATTCGTTCAAATGTAAAAGTTAGATTACATCCGTTATTGTATATCATTTACCAAATCATTTTCGAACATTATTATAGCCTAATGTTATTTAAAGATAACTATTTAGTCTATGTTTCTTAGTTGTCTAGATAAATTTGTGAATAATTTCAGAGGTTAACTAACTGAATAAAAACCTTTGATCATGGAAATAATCCTAAGCTATTTATTTAGAAAAAATCTCCGACCATCATAAAACCAGATGATTTCAGATATAGGTATTGCGAAATTTAGTGTCTGCTGTTATTGTTAATTGGCAATACGACAACTAGTCAGCTTAGATCATATACTTCACTGCGCGTCGACGATCTTCCAAATATATAATCGAACTACTTCTTTGCTGAATTCTGCGTTGACTGGTTTTGGAATTCTCAGTTAGAAATTTGTTAGTGACTGCGACATTGTTAAGAGCTGATATCTGTAACATCTTTAAGTCCTTACTCATCATATACAATATTTTGGTGCCATTCTCATTATTATAAGTGAATTTTCTGTCGAATTTTTGTTCATTAATTGTAATTTATTTTTAGTAAATTAGTGAAATATTTAATAAACAGCTATATTTCCATCAATTGTACATCAAAAATCTGTCTAGATTCTTTAAATTCATACTTTAATAATATGTTAAACTGAATTCATACAATATTTTATTTTTTCCTATTAAAATTTTTTAGGAAGAATGTTGGTTTGGCTTCTACTTGTAATAAAGTTGGACAGAGCCTTGGTTATGCGTTATCATTTATTCCCTTAGTTTGCTTAGAGTCTCCTGATATTACTAACAAATATCTTAGACGAACGCCTATAGCAGACAAAGGATTAATAACATTTTCCGGTCTGTATATATTGTACAAAAATATCATGAATTAGTTTTGCTAATTTTATTATTATTGTATAATTTATCGATGTGATTTAATCAAATGTTTAGAGGATTTATTGAACTTTCTTAGTATATCAGTGATATCAATGTGAAAGTCAGAATCATTCTTATGGTAATCATTGTTAGGGCGATCTTGATAAGATGTCATAAAGTTATGTTTGAGATACAAGATTGTCAGTCATAGGGTTTATATAATCATGGTCATTCTAATGTGATTATATGGCAGTTTTGATAGATACTTGTGCGTGATAGATTTATTTTTATCGTATCAAGTGTGAACTTGATATTTTGTTGTTGAGCGCTGTAAAGAAATGGTTTTTCTTTTCTTACGTATTGCTAATTATTTGATATCTTTTTGCTTTTAAACAGGTTTTCTCTATGCATGGGGTTTTGGTTTCATGATATTTAACACAGTTTTGGTAATATTTAAACATGAAAAAGGCTCGAAATTGGATGGGATTATACGTTACTTCGTAAGAAGTCGTTTATTCAGTAAATCGAACTACTCGACGCACTCATTGAACAGTGAACAGACGGCAAATAAAAACGAACAAACGGACGGAAGTGAAAAAGTCTCATTGCTTAATACATATAAGACTATTATTGGTGTTATCCAACTGAAACCTGTCGCGTTGTATTTGATATTGATAGTTTCAGCAAAGGCAAGTAAGGCAGTTATATTAATTATCCATGTTAATTGATTTTTTTTGTGTACGTGATACCGTATGATTGTTTAAGAAAGGATTCTATATTTTCTTCCTGTTTTAAATTATTACTGGCGAAGTTACAGTATTTTAATCCGAATTTGTTCTCAGTGGGTAATATACAGAACTATATTTATATATTCGATGGGCATTGGTTGGTCGGCAACCTAAGCTTTCATAGTCCTTTATTGTGTATTATTCAGTTTGTTGCATAATTTTCGGATATGTATACTGTACAAAACGGAAGCTTATAATGTTGATATTGATGAACCAAACCTTCGATTTTTAGAGAAATTTATGCAATTTAGCTCACTATATTATTCACCAATTCAGTTGAAGGTTTTCTCCAACATTTTAGTTATTAAGCCGGATCAGTTTGATCGTGAACATTCACGTTCATTTTGAACATATATCGTTGTATTTTTAATCTGACATAACTAGTGTTCATATTTGACCACTTCAGTATACATTTCAAACTTTTGTATACTAATTTTCAGTTATTTTTTTAGCAACATATTTCAGTTTGTTTTACAACTTCTTTGAATTGTTGTTTGGTTATGGATCAAATATTGTTTTGTTTATCTAAAATTCTATACTTCCTTAAAAATTGCGGACAGTTTCTTTGTAATTTATATCTTTTTAGTTTGGTACATCAATTTTCTCGTGAGGTTTTTAGCTCACATATCAAATCTAGGATTCTTAAATCCCTGAATAAAAGTCGTTGAAGCAATGGGAAATATGTGTTCACTTTCAATTTTCTTTTCTGAACACAGAAGTGGAGGTTTGTTTTTTAGGAAAAAATATAGATCGTGATAGTATCCTTAGTTAGACAACAGTGAAATAAAAGACAATATTTTTCTTTATCATTCGAACAAGACTTTAATTAAATATACTGTTTTTATTTTGGGTGCATGGACGATCTTAATTCATCAAGTGAATTATACTTACTGAAACTAAATTGACAATGTTTTCAATTTCCAATATTTTCAATATGATTGTATTGAATACAACCCTTAAAACGTTCCTGGTACACTATGTTTTAACCGATTCTTCCCAGTTTTTAAGGTTATAAATGCACCATCGATTAATGATGTACTGAAGTAATGTAAATAGTGAAACTGATGATTTGTTCAAATAACCAGTCTTTACAAACTTAATCAGTAGAATTCAGAAGTACAAATCATTGACAGACTGAATTAACGTATTATCAAACTTGAGTTTGTCATGGATATAAAGAATATTCAACTAAGATGGGACTGTATCAGGTCATAAATGATTGATCAAGAATAACATTGAAGGTTGTAAAACAGCCATTGACCATTCATTTCTCTGTTTAATTGTACTTTGTTGGTTTTTCTAATCTTTTGTTTTACTAAAAATTATTTTGGTTTTCAAAAATGTATGAAGTATATTTTCCGAGGTTTATTTACTGTGTGAAGTATATTCTAGTTTCCCTATAATTGTGGCTGTCTATTCAATAACTATGAATTCAAGGATACCTAATTTAATACAAGCTTCGCACAATTTCATTCAATTATGAAACGATCATTCGTTTTCAAAATGAGTGTTGACCATAATTGGTAGATGTTTTCAAGTTTTAACGTTGATACTGTAGAGTTCTTAGTGAATGATAGTTTAGACTTGTGAAACGTACGTGTAAAATATAATGTTTACTGATAATGTGATGGTCTCAGATTAGAAATCCACAAATACTTATTGGTAATGTCGAAGTTATACATGATTACTTTTGGCTTTGATATCTAATAAAATTAATGTTCTCCTCAGATTGTTGAGCAACCCAGTTTATAAGAGTCAAATTATAATAAATGAGGGATTTTAATGCTAGTATCTACATTAGCCGATTAACTTATGATACTACGTTTTACATAGGGTTTGTTTGAATTAGTTATTGGTAGAAATGAAATAAAACTTTTTTCGACTTTACAGATTTTGGTTAATGATGCTTCTTTCCCTAATATGCATGTAATTTGAAACAATTATAAGTCAGTTAGTCGATCATATGCAACGCAAAACCTGACACATGTGTAATAATTCAATTTGCCACAACACTTTAGCACAATTGTTTCAAGACAAATCCTACGTTGGTAAAAGTAGTAACAGGATCAGTAGCAGTAGAACAGATTAACTATGGAAGGAAAGAGAAAAGACTTAGTATGAAATTTTGGAACTCAGAGAATAAGGGGACATAAAGAATGAACTCACCCGAGCCATGTTATCCAAAGTCGCTCACCGCTGGTTAACGGTGGTTGGGTGGACCCCAGCCAAGTAATCTACATCAAGCTTTATGTCTCAGTTCAATAATTAGTATATTTATAGACTGATAGTACGTCTTGATTTGATCACTCTTAGATTTTTAACAGCCTGCTCCTACGCCAGCCATAGTCGGGAGTCTAGGTAGGCGGTGTTCGTGTTTACCTTATACATTTCTCAATCACCTCTGTCAATGAAGATTTTCTACCTCATCAGTCGATTTCCCATCTTTACCTAATATTTTATGCCCAACCAGCCAACTGAAATTTCATCAAACATCAACCAACCAGGGCTGATAAGAGCTCCAAGATTAGTTAAGTGGTTGACTCGCTTAACTACCTCACTGACTATCATTAAGCTAGACGTTGACGCAGACCAGTCTTGAAGCAACATTCCTCATTTAGAGAGGGGGAATCACATCCAAAAATTGTTGCATCGTTCCTTAAGGTTGTTAAAAGACTCTTTATTTTGACGGCGTTTTCACCGAAAAAAGTATACTATCTGCTTGTTCCAAGTCAACAAGTAAGTTTCCTGGTAAAACACCAGCTACTGAAAATTCAGGCTACGAGAGAGCTATTTCTAAAAAAAATCACATATGATGAAGTTAAACAAAAATAGAGAATGTGGATAGCCTTGGTGAATACCATTTAAAGTTAACAATCCCAATAACAGTTCTCCATAAGCTCTAACTCGATCAGTGGAGCTCAATTATTTCTTTTTGATAAACTTACCTGTTTAATTGTGTTATTTTTTCCCATCATTATTGTTATAATTATTATTACTATTATTAGGTATGTGCTTTTGGTACATATACAGCTACAAATTTAAAGCTAATCGAACAGGGATTTGCTAAAGAGAAACTGGCATTATTAAACCTTGGATTTTTGCCAATGGAATTTATTTTACCCTTGTTATTTGTACGTTTTACTACTGGACTGAAACCATTGACTACTGGTCTAATGATATTTTTACCAAGGTAATTATTTTTGCTAATCGATATGGTTTTACTGATGTAATCACTTTGTATTTTCATCACCATTAATGCAATCTGTTATTTTTTGTGGTCATTCTAGCCTGCTACTGATATGCTAGTTTCTTATACGGGAACACAGCCATCTACTTGAGTGAGAAAAGCAAGAGTGAGTACGGAACATGTTATGGATTATGGCGTGCTGTCTAAATTCACGTAACGAAACACCAGTCATAATCCGTTCAGCACTAATGATCTTGAATCGACGCTAAGTTCTTATTGATTCACGATATATATAATCTAATTACTTAGTAATTCTACAATATGAGTACATATATAATAATATTCCATAAATTAGTTCTGGAAGATAACATTCCTTCCGTTTTCGTTCGGATAGGACAGAACGTTTATTGGCTAAATCGATTCGAAAATACGTTCATGACTCACTTATAAACATACATCTTCCCCAATAAATCAAATCACATTTTCAACCAATAGCGTGTCACTGTACTCAGAAAGTTCAACCAACTTTTGGCCATAGTGTGCACTTGTCAACATCTATTTATCATTTGGCTTAGACTATTACAATCTAAGCAGAAATTTTGTAGTTATAAATGATTCGGCAAAGTTTAGCTTATTAAATTCACTTGGTATTGTTTACTTGAATCTTCCCATTGATGTTTAGGACTGCAATTAATCAGTCTCTATTGGTATATGTGCATACTGTGCGTATTGCCTCAATATTGCCTTAATTCACAAGCATTATAAGCAAAGATGGATTGTGGCTAGCAGGGGAATCCAAGACGCGCGTTTCACCCTATTTGGGACTCGTCAGCTGGATGTACCGGCATCTCGGAGTTGATGTTCACTCTGGGACTCGAACCCAGCACCGTTCGCTTCAAATGCTATCGCGTTATCCACTTAGCTACTGAGTCCTGATAGTCACTTGTTTGTGCAAAAGCTAACTTATTTACTTGTAGAAAATTTTATGTCATTAAAATTCTAATTTTAACAACTTTGCAGAAGTGTTCACATTACTTTATTATCGTGTTATTACTGTTCAAGTTTCTGTGTTTGTTACTTTGAAAATGATCCAGGTTACTGACAAATTGTTTATTTATTCCAATTATTCATTTCATACCGCATTTTCGAATGATTTCAAATGATACCTTAATGATGAATAATTCGAATATGACAACATTAAATAATTACACAACTACTACTAATAATAATCATACAATTATTTTAATGAAAGATAAACCAACTTATTCATTTCCATTGATATTCTATGCAATATTAATAAGTGGCTTCCTTTTGGATAAAATTACAGCAACAGTTATATTTGTACAATTTCAAGCGTTTCATGCCAAAATAAGTGATCCGATTATTGGAGGAACCTATATGACATTATTGAATACTGTATCAAATCTTGGTATGAGATATGCTCTTTTTGTGCTGTTTGCTATTTTGTCTTTTTAAATTATCTGTTTCAGTATAGTGAAAATTCCCATTTTGCCATTTGGTAAATAAAGAAGGAACGAATTGAGCGAAGAAATTTCTTTTCAATTAGTTTTTCATCATGGCTCTACACTAATATATATACACGTTTTACAATAATGATATAATACTCGTCGAGTGGATACGTTACGTAATAATTACATAATGACATTTAAATTAACATTCAGTAATTGGAAGAGAGAGGATTATTAATATTCAAAGTAATCAAGAAGTTGCTATGTTGCGTAATATAAGAAACAAAGAAGGAATAGAATTTTACCGGATGGTCAATAGGATAGTAGTTACGTAAGAATCAAGAGATGAATGTTGAGAAGTTGTAAGGCTCAAAACGTGTATATATATTAGTGTAGAGCCATGATGAAAAACTAATTGAAAAGAAATTTCTTCGCTCAATTCGTTCCTTCTTTATCTGTTTGTGTTATTTTTTTTCGCTAATGCTGCTAATATGGTTATTATGATGAAGAAATGAAATGATCATTCACTAACGTTCATTGTCCAACTTTGATTTAAGAGTCATTTGATATTACCACAATATATGAGTCAGTATAATCAAATAAAAAAATCACGTTCATATGGTCAATATGAGTTAACCATAATGATCACTTCGTTATGTTCACTTATGTGTCATTTAATGTCGAAATGTACATCATTCATTTTTCTTAATCGAGTAAAATTTCCTGAAATATAAAGTTATCTTTAGAAGTTCATTTAAATTACCAAGTTCCCTTGTGTGACACGTTTCCAAACGTGTCTAGATAGGTATGAAATATATGTTTATATTGTTAATCATTGAGCTTCAAATAGTCAACTATTTAATATACCCAGTATTCATCTGAGAATTTTATCCTTAAAGTGAAACAACACTTTATCATGTTTAAAACTTGATACTAAATGAATCCCAGTATTGTAGATTGTAATAACTGCTACAATTGATCAGTTCAAATGTAAACATTAATGACAACTGTAAATTTGAGATGGATGCACTAGTGTTGACTAAAAGTATTGCTAGTCATTCAAGTTTGATATTTGTTACACAGGGATCTTTGTCTTTATCTTGTTAAGTACATTATACCCGACCGTTGTTGCTACCTTGACGTGGTGGTCGGGCTTGCCTATCGTGATGAAGCAACCGAGCTATACTGGCTGGAACAACCGTTCCTCAAGGTCCTACCATGTCAGACAGGTCGGTTGAAGAGCGGTAAGACTAAAAGCAACAAACCCAAGGTCCGAAGGCGAAGTCGTACTGCTGACTGTACAGAGGTGTGACAGCAGTAAGGTGTTTCCTTCAGACAACCAGCATGACAGCGATGCTGCCTTCCCACAAGGAGGGGTGGGGTTAGAAAAGGTCGACCCTAAAAATGCACACCTCACCTTACCTCACGGATTTCCGTCTTCGGCGGTAAGGCCCTTTGAAGAACGGAGCTAACACGTCGAAAACCTTCCACGAAAAGGCCGTGCGCGACCGGCCTCAAGCAGTTGTCCCTTGGGCACTGCGGTCACGCTCTCAGGTCACTGAGACCACCTCTAATCCAATTTCCTTTTCAGGTACCTCCAGAAGAACCCTTCCACGGTGTGGGCAACCGGGAAGTGATAACCGCCCTCATACCTTTAAAAGCACTCAAGACCACTGTATTCATAATCAACCTTCCTCTTCAATTCCTATTATTCCTCCTACATCGACTTTCAACCCTAAACTTCCTCCTTCGGCTTCCTCCTCAAGTGTCACCATAGCCAACGATTCTAGTGCTCAAAACACTGTCCCAGGTCTACTGAAACCTCGCTCCAAACTACACATTGGAGCTTTCAACGTACACACTCTATGTCAAATCGGTCAGCAGGCTTCCTTGGCTAAAACCCTAGAGTCTATTTCCATTGATGTATGCTGTGTCTCTGAAACACGCATACAGGATCCCAGTGTGGTCATTCACTTGACCTCACCTCGGCAGAACGGAGAGCCAACGAGATACACCCTTCGTGTATCTGGTGACCCGACGGCCAGTTCTCGTGGACTGGCAGGTGTAGGCATAGCACTAAGCATGAGGGCCGAACAAGCACTGCTAGAGTGGATCCCCGTCAACAGTCGTCTATGTGCTGTTCGGCTGAACGGCTACGTAAGAACTCGGAAGGATAGGGACACACGTCGTTGCCTTTTTGTCGTTTCTGTCTACGCTCCCACTGACTGCAGCTCAGATGAAGTGAAAGATGAATTTTACAGAAAGCTTTCTGAACTTCTTCAGAAAGCTAAACGCTCAGACATAGTACTCGTAGCAGGTGATTTTAATGCTCAGATAGGTAGCTTAAACCAAACAGAAAGGCATTTAGGTGGATATTTTAGTATTCCGAAACTGCGAACAGATAATGGTGATCGTCTGCTGCAGCTATGCTCAGACAATCGTTTATTTTTAGCAAACACAAATTTTAAGCATAAGGAGAGACATCGTCTAACATGGCGACCCCCTACACCAAACCAACGATGGACTCAAATAGACCATATTGCCATCAGTCATCGTTGGAGAGGGTCGGTAGAAGATTGTCGCTCATTCTGGAGTACCTGCTTGGACTCCGAGCATGCCCTATTACGGGCACGCATCTGCTTGCGCCTCACTGGACGCAAAAAAGCCACATTAAAAAGACCCGTTAGAACTGAGTTGAGTAACGAGAAAACCAAAAGTAGGTTCCAGGAACAACTGAGGTCATACTTAGGTAGTTGTGAAGACGAGGCTGACCCAGATGTTGCTTGGAAAGCTATACAATCAGCTGTGGAAACAGCAGTGACATCTATTAGTGACTTAAACCACAGAGTTGCAAGGAACCAGTGGATTTCTTCAAGGTCTGTCACACTGATGGATTCTCGCAAACTCGTCCCATCAGGTTCTGAACATGATGAAGAGCGAAAACAAATCAGATCTAGGTTAGGAAAAAGTCTAAGGAACGACCGTGAGCAGTGGTGGGTAACGAAAGCAAAAGAGATGGAAAAGGCGGCGACTATAGGGAACACAAGACAGCTCTATAGACTAATAAAAGAAACTGGAATTAATAAGTCAAGTGTAAGTGAGATTATTTCGGAAAAAGATGATACTCTCATCTGCTCCCAGTCCAGACGTTTAGAACGATGGGCGGAACATTTTAGAGAACAGTTCATCTGGCTTTCAGCTACTCTACAACTACCCTCCATTCCCAGACAATGTGAATGGAACATTGAAGTAGGTCCCCCAACTCTTGCTGAAGTTCAAAAGACTATAGTTAATCTGAAACGAGGAAGGGCAGCTGGTCCAGATGCATTGGCTTTAGAGGTCTTTAAGGATGGTGGTTTAGTTTTAAAGATTAGGTTGACTAAAATTTTAGCTAAGATCTGGGAGTTAGACGTTATTCCATCTGACTGGTCACAATCACTTATCGTCCCAATATATAAGAAAGGGTCAAAATCATCCTGTGACAAGCATAGAGGGATTAGTTTAACAAACATAGTATCTAAAATACTGGCCTCGATAATTATCAGACGCCTAACTAAGACTCGTGAAGTACAAACACGAGAGAACCAAGCTGGCTTCAGACCTGGTCGTGGCTGCATCGACCACATATTCACCATTCGTCAGGTTCTAGAACACAGGCATACTTATCGGCGTCCGACGATGGTGGACTTTCTTGACTTAAAAGCAGCGTTTGACTCTGTAGACCACGAGTTTCTGTGGTAGTGTCTGTCATTGAAAGGCGTACCTCAGAAGTACATAAACCTTGTGAAGACTCTTTACTCGAACACTACTAGTCGAGTCAGGGCTTATAGCGAACTGTCATCTGCTTTTGCAACCTCAAGTGGTGTCCGTCAAGGCTGTCCACTTTCTCCATTTTTGCTTAACTTCATCATAGACCTACTGATGGAAATAATATTCTCGTTTACTGAATTTTCGGGTATTGATCTCCTTCCAGGAGGTCCACTTATCGACTTAGAATACGCAGATGATATAGTCCTGTTTGGTGAAGACGCTGATAAAATGCAGAGTCTTTTGGTAGCACTAAGCAACAGTGCCAGAATGTTTGGAATGCACTTCTCTCCCTCTAAATGCAAGTTGTTGCTTCAGGACTGGTCTGCGTCAACATCTGAACTAAGGATAGGGAGTGAAGTAGTCGGACGCGTCGACAACTTCGCTTATCTTGGAAGTCTGATCAACCCTAATGGGTTGGTGTCTGACGAAATCTCAGCACGGATTCGAAAAGCTCGTTTGGCTTTTGCCAACTTACGTCACCTTTGGCGGAGGCGAGACATCCGTCTATCAATAAAAGGACGAGTATACTGCGCGGCAGTCCGTTCTGTCTTACTTTACGGCAGCGAAACATGGCCTTTAAGAGTAGAAGACACCCGTAAGCTACAAGTATTTGACCACAGATGCCTTAGAAATATTGCTGGGATCACCGGGTAAGTAATAGTGAGGTTAGACGCAGGGTATTAGGGAATGATGGTAAATCAGTTGATGAGGTTATGAATCTTCATCGACTGAGATGGTTGGGCCACGTATTACGTATACCTGAACACCGATTACCACGACGTGCAATGCTAACCGGTGTAGGGGATGGTTGGAAGAAAGTTAGGGGCGGCCAAACCAAAACGTGGCACCAGTGCTTGAAGTCACTAACTTCTCGTCTTAGCCATGTTGGTAGATGCAGACTACTTGGTTGGGGTCCGCGTGACTATCGTAACCAATGGTTGGAGACTCTTGGTGACATGGCTCAGAATCGATCACAATGTCGTCGGTGTATACACTCCCTGTCTTCCCTTAAACTAAGAGATTAAAATCACTTCATATCTTTCTTTCTACGAACTAATTCTTCCTTCCTATACTATATCCTTATTGCAACCTTTGACCTAACCACTCCTATGAATCCGGTGTTCATCTTGTTGTGCTAATGAGGTATGGCAACCTGGACCGATGCACATATGTGCCTGGTCCTACGTTGTAGCTGACTGACTAAGTACATTATAAGAATTTATGGTTGGCTTTATCAGTGAAATGTTCATCAGGCTCTCCATTTGATTTGTAATTGTAGACTAAAACGTAATTATTTGAACCAAAAGACATTTTATTATGATTTTCTGTTTTATTTTCATGTATAAGTTTGTACTTGGTTAATTTTTTTCCACAAGTAAAATGTAGTTGTGGATACTTCCACTCACTTTCATAACTTATACCACAATAGGTATAGGAGTTTCCAATAATTCTATGTAAAAGTTTTCAGAGGTTAGGGAGATGTTGAAAAGTTCTTCGACTAGGTAGGATTTTTGAGATATTTGCAAGAGAATGTTAAACAACGACGAATTATTTTGTTGTTGTCCGATTGAACAATTATCGACTATGTTACCAACTTTAAGACGATTTCTAGTACCTTTTAGGAACTCAAGGTCACATGTAATTCTGTAAACTTTTTTTAAAATATATAAACTGACCTTATAAATAAACCTTGAATATTCCCTACTTCTTGTTTTTGTGTTCGGTGCCCAGTGATAGAAGATTTCTAATTCTTAGGATGGTGCTGGTGAGTTGATGTTCGAGCGTTAGAACACAAAATATACCAACAGCTAAATTTAAAAGAAAGCAATATCGTCTTAATGCCTAATCTGGATTAACCAATGTGGTGTTTCATCTTACAATCTGATACTTGGAAGTAATATACTTTAACCACCTTACCATCTCTCTTACGATATGTATGTGAATGCAGAAACATGTTTGCACCAATGTGACTCATTAATATAGTGTACAGACAATCCATCTCAATTAAATGTTTGTATAGTGAATTTATTTAAAGTAGCTATAAAGTTGTATAAATTGAGTTCAAGAATAATAGTTTGCTTATTTTGAATGTTAACTGATCTGATCGTTTCATATTGGTTATTTTTTATTTGTTCCAAATAGCTGGTGCTTTAGGAACTACTGTCTCTCTCGCTCTAATAGAGCGTTTGACAATTCATTCATGTACGAAAAATGCCAGTCATTCTGGAATACATACAAACACTAGTGGGGTATTTTTAAATAGTTCATTGGCTACTGAAAATACCACTTGCTATACTTTAGATGGAAATAACGTATGTGAATATAATTGACATGCTATACTTTGTACAATATTTTCAATGTATGTTCATTTTTCAATGATAACACAGTGTTGTAATGCTATCTACTAATAACTAGTAGGATTCATGACAAAAGAAATGGACTTGATAATATTTTAGTATTTTAAGCAGAGATGAATGTTGGATAACTGTGGGATCCAGAACGCGTGATTCGTCCTATTCAAGATTCATCAACTGTATGCACTTGTACTGGATCATATAATTTAAATGATAACAATATACGGGTGTGCGTACCTAAAGGAAGCGTCCAAAAACAAAGTTAATAATTGATTATTTTGGTAATCGAGTAACATAATTAAATTGTTTTTGTCTGTACAACTGAAGGTGTTATTAGGGTTAATTAAAGTGATATTGAAGGCTATTATAAGTAAAAAACAAAAGAGTTACGAAATATAGATTAGAAGAGGAGAGTATCTTCGGTTACAAAAGTATATGAAATGAAAATACTAATAATAGAAGGCTAAGGCAAAGACGAAGCGTATTTCTTTTGTATAGAAAAATCCATAGCTAGCAATCACTTTTACCTAGTGGACGAGAATATTCACCAACCTGGTTCTAAAACAGTGGAAAGATAGTGGTTAAGGTTTCCGTCTTTGATCATTTAATTGTCTGGAATTACCGAACTTACCCTTAACCCTGAAATGAACATACTGACACTGTAGTTTGTGGACGAAATAATGGAACATCTCTTGTTTTTTGAGCGAAATTCATATATAAATATGGCTACAGAGCATGTTTACATTATAGGTCATGTCAATTCGTAATGAGAACACTAATCTTTAACCCTTGAGTGATCAGTCCGAACTAGGACTCAGAAAAACCTCTTTTAATTCTTTTACGGGTTCGAAAAGATGGAAAATCTGTATCTGTATTACAACTTCATATATCGTCATTGTTTTGGTGTACAGTCAGAGTAGTCTATAGAAGGTAATTATAGGTTTACTAATTGTGTAAAATTAGTTTACACTTTACAATATTATTGTTTTCTTTCCCATAAAATGCCCATTTATAAAAGATGCTTTATTACAAACTTGCTGGGAATTCGTAACAGTTATTACCATAATATTGACTAACTTGGGTCATTAAGTTCAACAAACATAAAAAGTAATCATGAAGATAGATGTGTTTTGTTAAGCTTTTCTAGTTCAATGTAACACTCACAAACAAAGTTGTAATTTTTTAAAATTAAAGTATTCACTTCTTTGTCCAGATAACGTCACTAAAATTTTGTCTTGAAACTCAACACATTAGTTCTTACATTTCGTCACTTTTTATGTAACAGGAAAGCAACAGTTTTCGGTAACTGTATGTATACCAAATTGTTGAGAATCATGATATTTACATGCATACGATATTTTCTTTCATTATATTCACCTAATTACTTCACTATTCTTTTTTCTTGTTATGTTTGCAAGATTTTAATTATTACCGGAAATTGATTATAAATAGATAGATAAATGTCTATAAACTCAGTGTAAAATATCAACTTTAATTTACTTTTCTTTTTCTTTTCAATTCAAAATAGACATGTATTAATCCAATAGAATCATGCGTTAAAGTATTCGATGGATACTATATTGAAGTGATAGCTCTTCTCCTCGTTGGTTCAATATTATTTGTATTGTTCTTTTATCCAAAAGCAAAATATTTGCAAAGTTTACCAGTAACGAAATTTTATTACAATCCAACTACTGATGAATACAGTTGTTTTGGTCGTAAATTTAACTGTTGTCGTAAAACGGAAAATCAGTCTTTAACTATAGTTGATTATTTTGAAAGTATGGAAAACAATACTGATACTACTAGTACTGCTGCTGTTGCTACTACTACTACTACTACTACTACTACTACTAATAATAATAATAATAATAATAATAATAATGGTGAAATCAAATTACTACTGAACAATTAATATATATATATGGCCACTGATTATTTTTTTATTCATTTATTACCAAGATGGATATTTTTATAATTATGGTGAATTTTTATATTCGGTTACTAATATTTTCTACTTATAAAGAACAATTTGAAAATTTTATCCTTTTTTAAATTATTTGTGGAAAAAATTGATTTAAAGTTACTTTTCTTCTTTCTTTAAAGAAAAAACAGAACTGTCATTTATTTTGTGTCGCAGATATTCTTATTTTGTAAACTAATGTGCAACCTTGTTTACTTATATTTTCATTATGCATAAATGATTCGTGAAAAATATTATCCTATTAAGAATGAATGATGATAACCGTTACTTAATGAAGAAAAGGAGATGAAGTATGTTTAGTGTTATGTTCTTACTGTTTTTTTTTATTATTGTTTTTTGTTGTATTCGAAATGTTTTATTTCTATTCAGTTGGTTGGATATATGAGATCACGAAATTAATAACTGTCATATGTTTTCATATGTAAATGGAAGAAACAATGATGCACAGAGAGAGAGAGAGAGAAAATGAGAGTGAGTAGTGATATACAACGTAACTTTTGATTTCTAAATTTGCAGGGCAATATGATTGTTATTTTTATAATGATTTTGTACTTATCTACAGTCAGTTTGTATACGACGAACGATATATAAAGTTGAGTTAAATAAATTTGAATGAATGAATCTGCAATCTTTTAATTGGTGGATGTGTTTAAATGTTCCGTTGATGAACCGTTTTATACAATAAATACCGTCTTCCAAATTTAAAATTTTAATTGTTCGACAAACTGTCTGCAATTTTCAGTTGAAAATAAATTTCTTACGTTTTGGAAAATAATTGTTTACCCAAAATTTACAAAAATATATATATATATATTAAGATACCGAGAAAATGAATTTAAACTGTTTTACAAGCTGAGTATTCACACTAATCGAGCAAGAATAAACTTCAATATGTACTATTGTTATCGATTATATTTTGAATACTGCGTAACAGTTAAAGCCAGAACGCTCATTTCATCATATATGGAACTCGTCGATTAGAAGTATTGACATTTCACTGTAGGTGTCAAAACTGAGATTTGGACTCAATGCTCATCGCTTCAAAACGAATGGATAGAACGAAATTTTTGTTGTTCCTGGCAATATTCTTAGGTTTTGTATTCCGTCTAAGTAACTATTGGACGAAAGCTTTCTAAACTCTTGTTTGGTCAAAGATGATGAACTTACAGAAAACACAAGAAAGCGTTTCCCATAGGTTTTGGACTGAACTGAGGTGAATAAACCTAGTGTAATTGGATTCGAAACCGTAAGTCGTAAATTGCTTTATCTGAAATGTGTGTTTGTCAGTAAAAATCGTGCCTCAAAAGAAATTACCAAAGGTTTGTGATGCTTACTCAAGTTGTACATTTCCTGCTCACCCATCGCATTGAAATTAATCAGAATATCAAATTCAAAGACATAATGGTATACCAATTGATGTTGCAGAAGCAGAAGAACATGAGATACCATATAATTATATAATTAGTGTACATTCTGAACTGAAAAGATGCGATTTATCTGGAATGGAGTACTATCAAAAGGAACAATAAAATGGAACGAGGCTTTCAAACGTTGAATAATAAGTTTCCCAGGTGTCGATAAGCTGTCAATAGCACAGTCAGAAGGGAAATGAATCCTTCAGATGATTGGATAATAATAATAATAACTACGATACCTATCAAAAACAACACAAGACCGTCAAACATACGCGCAATTAATAACATAAATCAAGCTCAATGAATTAAAAATTGCCGAGCTTCCCAGGTTAAGCTACGTTTCAATCAGTAGCATACATGATACAGAATAATTAATAAGATAGGAAAAATGTAGCAATACAAGTAGGAAACGCGTTTAAAATATCGGATATAAATGCGTATGATTCCCAAGTCTCGTAACGATTGATATTGATATAAGTTACGGAATAATAATATTATAGTGTGGTAAACCGGGGAAAAATGAAATTAATGCTGAACAGATATAACAATATATGCTTGTATGGACGAATAGAGTTGTCTAGGATAGAAGACAACCACTAGGTTTCCAAAGGTGGTGGTCTAACATCAATCGGTTCATGATCTCAATCAAAAAATATTATTAATTGATGGTATGTGTGTATAGTAGACGAAATAATGGTTAAACTAGAAGGATAATGATGGTTATTTATAATAAATAATCGTATCAGGTCCTTTTTGAACTGAGAAATGTGTATGATGTAATTTTCTAACCGGATGAAAAGTGTTTCTGGAAAATAATAAGTTTTGTAAAATCGTGACATTAATTTTTTTTTGGTATCTAATTCAGTGAAGTCATATAATTTTAAGTTATGAACCACTACCTCATTGTGTTAACCATAAAATAGTTTGTTATGATTTTGTGCTTTATTTTCATGAATGACCGTGTACACGGTTAAGTTTTGCTCATAAGTTAAACATACTTATAATACTTACTAAAGATCATTTTGTTGATTTGAACTTATCAATATAACTACGTGAAAGAATGCTGTCCTTTTTTTAGTTAACTGAAATTAAAATGATACTACAACTAAGTTTTGAGCTTTATAATGATCACTTTACGTAATGCTTGCTTCTTCATATTTAAATAGTTGGACATTTATACGGTCACATTTTAATGTATAATATCTCAGGTAGCTGCTATTGGTATTTTACAATATTTCGATACCTATTAAATTGCTCTCATCAGTTTAACTAAATAGTATCGTGTATAGAAGATACAATTGTTTAGTCTGTTATTATAATATTGTCCCAAGATTATTTAAATGAAGTAAATTATGTAAATTTTGGTTTTGAAATCAACAGTTTGCTTTCAAATTTAATCAGTTTGGTCGATTAGTATGAGCTAATGGTTGATATGAAGTTAGATCGTAAAAACCCCAGAAAAGTACTGGTATAATATTTGTATTGTACCATGTTAAATTGAAAACCAACCTACAATTGTTGAAGTTGATAATAATGCCGTTTTAGCGGCAAGAATCTTGTTCACTGATCTTAAAGAAATATATGGTAATCGTGCACCAGGTAATGCGATTAATTTACGACTAGTATTGATTTTGATCTCCCTATTGTAGCATATTCGGATAATTAAACCAGAGGACATTATTGAGATAACCGTTGGAAGACATACACTGAGAGTAAACCAAATGTACATTAAATTTTCATTATAAAAATACTGGGTGCAGATTTCTTCCGAGAATTTTAGGAACCCGTTGTTTGCTAATAAAGTTATGGAAAATATAAATATGGCCTGAATAACTGTAGTCATCTTCATGTTCACAATCCGTATGTAAGTTCGGCCGACTAGAATGAGAGAGTCTATCAAAGCATAGTAGAGCAAAAGCCCAAGTTGAAATGTCTGATGAAATACTATGCAAAAATGTGTGTAAGCGGCAGAACGTTTCTCCGTACTTAACATGAAGATCAACTCCATATAATGACAGGTATGTAATTCTAACCGCATCTGTGAGGTGAATAATGAAACCGGTCATAACGATTACAAATATTTGAACCTTTGTTGAGAATCTAAGAGGACATTTCGGCCAATCCAGCCATACTTTTCGCGGGCAAACATTTTTATGGTTTTGATAATTTGACTTTCTTAAATGCCAGCCAAACAAGTAAGCTATCCATGCGGAACCAATGAACAAATAAAAGCCGAATCCCGTCGGAAGTTACGAGGGTATTTCAATGAACATCATCCAATGCTATGCGCTTACCAACGACTACAATGAAGACACTAAAGATCAATTCTACAATAGGCTGCAGTCAATCGTCGAGAAGTGCCCAACTAAGGACCTGACCATTCTGATGGGAGATTTCAACGCCAAGGTTGGAACGGACAACACAAGGTGAAATTGAAACTCAAGAAGCACTGGACAATGGGGTGGACAATATCACAAAACTTCAATATGGCCCTTCTTCAGGATACTACCAAACTCAACAAATTCAAGATAGTCCTCAGCAAAAAGTTCCAGGCCTTTCATGATCTACTCAATGGAGAAGGAACTACTGTGGAAAGAAACTGGAAGGGGATCAAAGAGGCAATCACTTCAACATGTCATGAGGTCCAGGGTCACAAGAAGCACCACCACAAGGAATGGATCACTGTTGATACACTAGATAGGATTCAAGAAAGGAGGAACAAGAAAGCAGCAGTCAATACCAGCAGAACACGAGCAGAAAAAGCCAAGTTAAAAGCTGAATACACAGAAGTAAACAAACAAGTGAAGAGGAGCATCAGAACCGACAAACGTAAATATGTGGAAGATTTAGCAACGATGGTGGAAACGGCTACAAGAGAAGGAAACATGAGACAGCTATATGACACGACAAAGAAACTCTGGAAATCGCCGCAAACCAGAACGACCAGTGAAAAGCAAGGAAGGCGAAGTAATCACCAACATTGAAGAGCAACAAAACAGGTGGGTAGAACACTTCAAAGAACTCTTGAATCGACCAGCTCCACTGAACCCACCCAACATCGAAGCAGCACCCACGGACCTCCTAATCAATGTTGGCCCACCAACAATTGAGGAAATCAGCATGGCCATCAGACAAATCAAGAGTGGCAAAGCAGCGGGACCAGACAACATTCCAGCAGAGGCACTAAAAGCAGATGTAGCGGTAACTGCAAGGATACTCCACATTCTCTTCAATAAGATTTGGGATGAGGAAGAAGTACCGAAAGACTGGAAAGAAGGACTTCTGATCAAAATACCGAAGAAAGGCGATCTCAGCAAGTGTGATAACTACAGGGGCACCACTCTTCTCTCAATACCGGGAAAAGTCTTCAACAGGGTATTGTTAAACAGGATGAAGGACTGTATAGACGTCCAACTTCGTGACCAACAGGCAGGATTCCGTAAGGATAGATCGTGTACAGACCAAATCGCAACTCTACGGATCATTGTGGGACAATCAATTGAATGGAATTCATCACTCTACATCAACTTCATTGACTACGAAAAGGCATTTGATAGCGTGGACAGAACAACACTATGGAAACTTCTTCGACACTACGGCGTGTCTCAGAAGATAGTCAATATCATACAGAGTTCATATGATGGATTACACTGCAAAATCGTGCATGGAGGACAGTTGACAAAGTCGTTCAAAGTGAAGACCGGTGTTAGGCAAGGTTGCTTACTCTCACCCTTTCTCTTTCTCCTGGTGATCGACTGGATCATGAAGACATCAACGTCTGAAGGGAAGCGCGGGATACAATGGACATCTAAGATGCAGTTGGATGATCTAGACTTCGCAGACGATCTGGCCCTTCTATCCCAAACGCAACAACAGATGCAGGAGAAGACGAACAGTGTGGCAGCAGCCTCAGCAGCAATAGGTCTCAATATACACAAAGGGAAAAGCAGGATTCTCCGATACAACACAGCATGCACCAATCCAATCACAATTGACGGGGAAGATTTGGAAGATGTAAAAACCTTTACATATTTAGACAGCATCATTGATGAACAGGGTGGATCTGATGCAGATGTGAAGGCGCGGATCGGCAAAGCAAGAGCAGCATATTTACAACTGAAGAACATCTGGAACTCAAAGCGACTGTCAACCAATACCAAGGTCAGGATTTTCAATACAAATGTCAAGACAGTTCTACTGTATGGGGTGGAAACCTGGAGAACTACGAAAGCCATCATCCAGAAAATACAGGTGTTTATTAACAGTTGTCTACGCAAAATACTTCAGATCCGTTGGCCGGACACTATTAGCAACAACGTACTGTGGGAGAGAACAAACCAGATCCCAGCGGAGGAAGAAATGAGGAAGAAGCGCTGGAAGTGGATAGGACACACATTGAGGAAAGCACCCAACTGCGTCACAAGGCAAGCCCTCACATGGAATCCTCAAGGCCAAAGGAAAAGAGGAAGACCAAAGAACACATTACGCCGAGAAATGGAAATAGACATGAGAAGAATGAACAAGAATTTGATGGAACTAGAAAAGAAGGCTCAGGACAGAGTGGGTTGGAGAATGCTGGTCGGCGGCCTATGCTCCATTGGGAGTAACAGGCGTAAGTAAGTAAGTAAGTACCAATATATCTGTTGGTAAACAAATGAATCACTCTTGATGGCGAAACTCTGGAAGATGTAGAATCCTTCACATACCTGGGAAGCATCGTCGATGGACAAGGAGGTTCAGATGCAGACGTAAAGGCGAGGATTGGCAAAGCAAGGGCCACATTCCTACAATTGAAGAACATATGGAATTCAAAACAACTTTCAACCAATATCAAAGTGAGAATCTTCAATACGAACGTCAAGGCAGTTCTACTGTATGGAGCTGAAACTTGGAGAACTACAACAACCACAATCAAGAAAGTACAAGTATTTATAAATAGCTGTCTACGCAAGATACTCAACATCCATTGGCCAGATACCATCAGCAATAGCCTTCTGTGGGAGAGAACAAACCAACTTCCAGCTGAAGAGGAAATTAGGAGAAGACGATGGAAATGGATAGGACATACATTACGCAAATCGTCAAACTGTATCACGAGACAAGCCCTAACTTGGAATCCTGAAGGGAAGCGGAAAAGAGGAAGGCCAAAGAACACATTACGTCGGATAATAGAAGCAGATATGGAAAGGATGAATTACAACTGGAAGGAGCTGGAAAGGATTGCCCAGGACAGGGTTGGATGGAGAATGCTGGTGAGCGGCCTATGCTCCTTCACGAGGAGTAACAGGCGTAAGTAAGTAAGTAAACAAATGAATTAAGTTCTATGCAGCATATAATACACTCAGATGAAGGATCCATTCCAATAGGAGTTGTAGGTAACATAATGCTGACTTTATCCGTTAAGTGGATAACAAAAAAATTATGATACGGTGATTATATGGAAATTTGTTTAGGTATATAATAAACATTTTAGCTATTTAAACAGACAATGAAGGGACCATTTCTATTATGTTTCATGATGACTGTTCTCTCTCACTGTTCTACACTCAGTCTGACAGCCTCATGAAGCTGAACATATAGCGAAAGCACTAACCACGGTAGTTACTGCAATGGTAATTTTTATTGCCATATCATAGATCCTTCGTAGATTCGTTATTATTTTTGTAGTCATCAAGATTTATCACAAAAATTACAGGAGTTTTGTTATGGATTTAGGTTGCTGTCGATTTTTACCCTGTGCTAATTGTTGTGTCCTTGACTGGAAAATTAGAGAGCAGCGTACTTATCGATCGACTACAGTGACACGTAAACACGAACGGACGGCCTAGAGTCTCGATTGGTCACGCTTCCCTGTCTAGCCCAGTCAGTTGAGTCCAGAATAAAAGTCACAGCCTCGGAGATATGAATCATTATATTTCAAAGATACTTTGTTTATATGCCAATCAAGCATACCACATCGTACCATAAAATAGAAAACAACATTTTGTACAATATTCAACAAGTGAACAGATATCGATCAATAGGAAATATCCATTTAAAGTCCAAGGACACCACTGGACTTAACATGATAATTATTGGTCTACTCCTCTGCATCCACAACAAGTTTTTATCTATACGTACATGAATAAGAAATTTAACAGTGAACACTACTTGTTTGGTTTCATTTAACTAAATTATGATCCAGTAGACTGAAATCCCAAAAGCTATAATTTCCCACATTTCTTAGATTTTCACAATATACCATATAATTACTACTATTATACTATTCAAATACTACTTAAAATAATTGTGATACTTTGAAATTTGTGAAGTAAACGCATGAAATAGACAGGTGAAATTGTTTTGTTCTCTTTTTGAAACTTCTAATTATTAAACATCAGAAATGTTCTCATCATTTTATACTTTATTTACAAGTTTCACATTCCTACTGGTTATTCTACAACATTTTTGTCGGTTTTTGATACTACTCATTAGTATTGGAACATAGTTAATTGACTTACTGAAAGACAGAATATAGTTTTGGACAATTTATCTCGTTCTACTTAATTAACTATGTTTTATTTGTTTCGCTTGTTGTTTTAAAAAATTTATATTATTATGTCGGCTCCTACCAGTTTGTCGATCCAGTTCTTAATGTGAACTTTTAGTAAAGGTAATGTTGACACTGTATGATTGATTCAAATGCGATAGTCTAGAAGGAATATTCAGTTTATGATTACAACAGTAGTTGTAATAGCCTTCATGGTACTTATAAATTACACAAGTTGATTTACAATAGTCTAAAATTTATAAGCTTAGAATATGATACCTAGTGTAGGTCCTACCAGGGAAGTCTCTGATTTGTAATATGCTATTCTACTACGAGCACTTCTAGCTGTAAGTGTGAAACATTATTTGTCGAGCGTAGATTATTTTTAGTCAGTGATACTTTCTTTTAAAGGTAAATTGTATTTGTCAAAATCTTGGGGATTGGAACCACATGGTTTTAATATTTTGAACGAAAGATTAATTTCAACTAAATCAGCAAAAGTTATTATCATCAGAAATATCAGAGACAGTGTTGTCTGAAACTGGATTCTACTGGAGAATTGTCTATGTTAAAATATCTACTGTATCATGTTGGATAAGTGTGAACAATTTCATGTGAAGAGAAAATTTTGATTCGAGTGATATATTGGAAAGGATTGTATCAGATTATCTATAAAATGCAAGGAGTATTCGTACAAAAGACATTGTGTTTACAATTTACATGATTGTCAGCAATAAACACAACCGCATGAACAACAATACTACTTCATTTTATTTAAATAAATAACATTCACGATCATTTTTACTGTACAAAGCGACAGAAATATTGTCATTATATTGTCAGTTTTTCCTATGATACTCAAAGTAAAGATAAACAAGAAACGGTTTTCTGTATTATTTACGTGATTTATTACGTTTTCTAGATTTGTTCTCTGATTTGATCTTACGTTTATCTGAAAATAGTAGAAATAAAATGTATAAGGGAAGGGGTTTTCTTTACAATTCATACTTTAAAATAAGTGCTATATTTATATTCCACGGAAAGTGGGTTGTTTAATAGTCAACCTGGCAATTGATTAGTATTCTAGATTTCATAAACAGGAAACATAATACTCTTAAATGCGTTTAGGAAGAAATGTATTTTGCGGATCAGGTAAGCTGCTTTAAGATAGCGAATAAACTGATAGATCAGTCATGTAGCCCGAAGAAACAATTTATCCTTTAATCACTCGTTAACACGAGTTGCCAAGCAGAATAAAAGATCATTCTTAAAGATTTCCCAAGTCAAGTTTTTAGATCTCTGTTTTTTTATCTTGGTAAGCTTAAATGATTTTATAAACATCTGGAAATAAGCTTAAGATCCCGTTTATTTCATGCAAATATACAGAGTACCATTTCAGTAGAGAGATTCAGATGTGCAAAAAAGATGATGAGTCTCTTTATGTTTATGTATACTGAATTTTTACTGATAAAACAAGAATTAAGGTCTATTTACTGTCTAACAAATCTTGACAAAATTATGTTTAACCTTAAATCAAGTAATAGCACACATTAAGTGAGTTTGATTGAAGGTAGTATAGGCCTTTTACATTATTTATATGATATTTGTTGAGTATTATTTGTATGAAACAAAGTCACTTTGACTAATTATTACACAGAAAAAAGTTTCAGATCTAAGGTTTGTGAAAACGTCTGAAAACTCATCAGTATGTTAGCCACTTAGACTAGTAAAGAAAAAGAACATTGAGAGGGAGACAATAATGTAGACTGATGTACTATTACGTAGTTGGAATGAAGATACATAAAAACTTAAATCGCATTTCAAGAGTTATGTTCCATTTTAAGACTTATGTATTCAGGAACTAAGTATAATATCTTTATCTAACGTCAGTATAGTATTAGCTCATATTGTGAATAAATGGATGAAAACAAGACGCTTGGTTAGCGATTTTAAAAATATAAAGTTGTAAATAAGTGCAGATAAAATCACTAAACTCACATTTGAATCCAGTTTCTGGTGGTGCAATAAGACAACTGGGTATCCTGTGAGCGCACGCTGGACATTTACGGTATTTTACTGTCTGAACTTCACTTGGAGTCAGCCATTCACCTGCCAATGTTAACTCGTTACATTTTGGACACTCCATAACACGCTTGCAACATAGACCTATAAATATTATCAACACCACATCAGAAAATGAATGATGGGAATAATAGACATATAATCCCGTTATGAGTTAAACTATATGCAAATCTAAAATTTCCCTATGGTGCCTAAAATGATATTTGGAGCTTAGCTTTTCGAAGTGCAGTTAAATTCTCTGTGATGATCATTTTTTAAAATTCCACTTCAATGTAAGTGGTAAGGTACTGTCTAGGTTTAACATAGCAATAAACTTATTTTTCAGGTAAGTGACTGACGCAGCTAGCACTAGGAATATTACACAAAAGTAGGCATATCTTGTTCGATAGATCTACAATTCCCTGTGATGTGATTTGCTATGGAAGTTTATAAAGAAAAAAAGATGAAGAAATGGTGCGATATGTGCTACTACTGTTGACAGATATAAGTGGTATGTGTCATCAATCAAAAGTGAAATACCTGGCAGCAGAAGGTTTAGAAGATCAAATAAAAGAGAACGAGAACAAAAATTGATTGGTGTGGAATCAAAAGAACAGTCAAGTTTGAGACAATTGATTGACATTTTGCAAATGAAGTATTTCTTGTATGGTTCGCAGATTTTACTAAGATGTTCAGTAATTTTGTGTTCAAATAGATTTGATTGTTATCACTTGTGTTCTCGTTCAGTACAATAGTATTGTAAAAGACACAATAATTAACTTTGAACGCATAATCTATGGTGTAGTTGTCTGTATATATTTAATTGTTGATGACCTTTTCATTAAAAACTAAGTTTATTGATTTTTGTCGGTAAATAATCTACCTAATTATTTAGCTAAATTGAAAATTGACTTTGCTTAAAACGATAAATATCTTCACGCCGATCAAAATATAATACTCACCTTTATAAGCTAATAATACGGAATCGAATTCCTTCAATATGGGCAACATAAGATTCCAAAGATTTTCCTCTGAAACAGGCCATTTATGCCATTTAGGCTTCTGTTTATGTTTCTGATGCTTATCATTATTATCTTTCAATGATTTACTGGCATCAAACGTTGTAGTTTCATCTAAAGTGTTCTTTTCACTGTTTTCCTCATCTATATTAGCTGCTGTATCATCATTTTGAATTCTAATTTCAATGTCATCTGAATTTGTGGTTGCTACTGGTAGAGCACGAAATTCAAACTTGATTAAACTGTCTTCATTAGCTGATTTTACGAGTAGAAATCTGAGTATTATCCGATTTAAACTGTTAAACATTTGCACTCCTGTCTTCCAATGTGCTGTATATCGAAACTTTAAAGAAAGGAATATAAACCAAAGTTTAGCATTGATTATTGCTGTGAAAACTTTGTTATTATAGAGGTGCCACTAAAAAGACAACTTATACAGATTATATGTCATCCCTGACACAATCAACAAATTCACTATCTGTCCAGTTACGAGTATCGCTTATCTTGATTGTTGAAATGACAGAACCCCGTGTGATTGGGCTAATAATCTTACAAACCATTGAATTCACAAAGCCACAACTAAGTAGTTAGTGTATTATCGCTGGGACCAATGTTAAGGGAATCGCACAATGAGTAAGCGATACAACAGAATAGTGGAGTTGGACCTGTCTGGCATCACTAATGCACTCAAATGACTATTCGTTACATAGTATGAGACTTATAGTTAGGTGCTTCCTGGTATTCAGCAAATACCCAGCTGATAAAAACTACAAATTGATCGTGTCTACTATTAGCGGATTATAAATTGGATTGGAGCATGTTCTATGCAAGATTGTGTTTGGGCAGGCTGATTGGCTATTTCATTTAGCGCTAGTGGACACTTGGAGAAGAATGTAGAATATTCTCATGCGAAGACTGTAAATATACTAACGTTCTCTTCACATTGCGATTCCTACTTCCACTTACCCTTGTTATTTGGAATATAATTTCGTTCCCGCTAAACCGTGTTCTGATTTGGGGACTTGTCGAGTGATGTGGTGTCCAAGAATACTAAGCAATAAGAGTAGCTGGGTCGCAATGAGAGAAATTATAATATCTACAAAATCCTCTTACTAGACGCGATAATATATCAGATCTTTCTGAATAATTTAATTTCAGCCAACGGAAAACTAATCAGTGACGTTTTATTGCCTAGTCTTGGAAAATATTTTATCATGTGCATCACAGCTATTAATTAAGAAGTGTACAAAGTACTTGTTAATAAAATAGTCTAATGAGTTAGAGAAAACGCTAATTAACTATAGTGAAGGACAAACATTTAAGTATAAAGCAAATAAAATATGACAACTAACCCCTTAGTACCAATATATCGATTAAGCTATAACGAGATTTCGAGATTAGAATACTGATTAAGTTGCAGTTTACAGAGGAGACTGTGATTTCCTTTCCCTATCTTATTACATCAAAAGAAAGGCGAAATAATGTTAAGAAGAAGACAAGAGAGCTTACTTTGAATAGTTCGGGCCAATTCAACCGTACTGTAGCCTTATCAAATAGTTCTTGAGGTAGACCATAAGAAAATCTATACACAAATATGATTGGTCTTGGTCCGGTTTGACAAGCTGTTTTCCAAAGTTCATTACTCATTTCATCTGTTGGGCTGCAAAAAGATGAAGGGATGAGGCAGGGAAAGCACAAAGCAGGTAATCGTTCTGGACACAGTAATGATTGAATCTGGTTATTAGTTGGAGACTGACGCGTATCAGAATTCGCACTATCCTCTGTATCTGGTTGGCTATCCGGTGATTGAGATCGACTCTCTGTGTTAGATATAATTCCACATGATAAAGCTATTTCTCTGGGAGATGGAAACTGCGTAAAAATATAAAATAAAAACGAAGTGAAAAATATACGTAGATTAACATTGTCTAGCCGATTAGGATAGGCTTCATGTATTCAAGAAGTACATTGACAGACCTGTTGTACTTTAGTGAAAAATTAAAATTATGATTTAACAGTTGACACTTGAGAAAAACTAGTTTCTTCATTTCAGGACCTTTGATATTTCAAGAAGGTATGGACATATTGTTGGGATTATTTTTAAAACTTATTAAAGCTAAGTAATCTGTCTTTAAATAACAATTCGAATGAAATATCTTGGGTTATTGCCAGTTGTAGCTTACCGCTATTGTACAACAGAAGAATTGTAACACATTTTGGAAATATAAAGAACTAAAGATCTCCATGAAATCACCAACATTCGAAGGAATGGCGTATACAATATTGGAGCGTCCTTTTGTGAAAATCTTGACTCATCTAAAGGAATACTTAAGCTACACAAAAAGACCTAATGTAGTGAACAAGAACACCAGTGGGGACAGTCGAATGTGTTTAACACAAACTTACAGGACTTGTTAACAAAATTTAGCAATCATAAAGTAAATGCCGAATTTGCAAAATGTCCATCAATTGTCCCAAAGTGACTCAGACTTCATTGTTCTTGCATTTTCATACAAATTGCATCCTGTTTCCATTCTTTACTGTTCGATCATCTTGTCCCTCTGCAGCCAGACCTTATGTTCACGACTAACATAATATACTACTTATGTCAATATAAGTAGCACACACCACACTAATACTTTTGTAAAACTGGATTGTCTTCAAGAAAAATCAGTAACAGTAGTACGTGTCATATTAATTAACCTAAGAATCGAAAAGAAAGGTGAGCAGCTGAAGCAATTCATATCATACTAAATCTCTCTTCCCTCAATTGTGGGGGGGTTGATAGTTCATCCAATCTAAACCATTTATCCCGACAACCAATAGAGTTGAAGCGTGTTGGGTGTGAAGCAGTTACGCACCGAAGACAATGGAAGGTGGTCGCGCAACATTGTGGATTTGCTGAAGTTATACATTAACGCCGTTTGATGCGGGTTAAACGTTCGCACGAGACCGAGGGTTCTGTGTTCCGGACTGTTGTGGGAGATCGTGGATGAACACTATCGAGGAATCCCATGCTAGAACAAGAGGGTAGTTCAGTGCTTCCAGATTTTCAATTGTGGTCTAACATTGAACGGTTCATGATTTCAATGCAATTCAACAATCTGCACAACACTTTAATATTGAATAAAGCCATTAATAATAATAATAATAATAATAATAATAATAATAATAATAATAATAATAATAATATACATTTATTCGTGTTCATTCCTCACACAATTAACACATATATGTAACTTTCAGTTTCACTGCATATTATGAATTTTGCATTAATTATGCTTGCCAACATATACATAAATACAAATAGTGATTTCTCATACACAATGAATTATCCCCGGAAATTCGACTTTTCTGAGTGTGACATCGTATTTCTGTAAACCCTTGTCTTCTTTACCCCTAAACCCATTGAAAACGTAGTTCTCGTCGTCTAATCGGGAGCCAGCTTACAAATGAATACAAACTATCAACTTTAAAAGAGTAAAATGTCTCAAATTCATTACCACAGTCTTGTCGGTTCACATATCTATACTGAACAGCGAGGCGGAAAATACGTTTCGTGAGATATTTTTTGAAGCTGGATTTCCTACAGAAAAAGAGCTAACCAGACATTTGGCAGTCTATGTGAGTCAGGCTTTCAGTAATTAAATTATCTAGGATAGACATTACAAAAAGAGTGATTTTCGTATAAAATATGTATCCAGAGTGAAAGGGCATCGTCAGTGGTGGATGACATCTTCTCCAAATATCTTCTATATAATAAATTAGACAACCTGTTGGTTGTAGATGGCCGTCGTCCTCTCATGTTCGTATTGTAGATGGATTTTTTTACCGTAAATTGATGATCATTGACTCATAGCCATGATTTTACTGAGCGTTGTTCATCAGCAAAACTCATGGTTCCATAATTTAATGAATGATCAAATTAAGATCATTCACTTTTTACTGGTATCCGGAGCTGCAGTCTTTGTAGTAATCGATTTCGTCTACGAAACTTTCGAAAAGTGAATCATCACACAGAATGTCCGCTTAGAACCATTTTAACCGAAAATGACAAGACTTTCACATAATGAGATCTATTTTGATTTTCAATAAACTAAATATTTTCTCTTGTTCCTGTTTAAACTCGTAATAATTTGATCAGATTATTTTCTTATTTAGTATGAAGAAGTGGCTCACACTTAGTCGCGGAACGTTAGGAACTCAAATTTCTACTCTTTGGAATGTCACAAATATATCATAGTTTTATTATTATTATTATTTAATTGACCTTAGAAATTTGATTTGTTGACCGAATTTTCCTAATGCTTCATCTTCAACTTTCCTTAAAAGATGCTAATAAAAACATAACACACAGACAATGAACTTGTTATTCTATGCGAAAATCATCAATAGTTTACCTGTCATTATCAAAGAGGATCTGAACAAGATTGAACTTCCAGCGTTAACTAACTGGAAATTATTCTTTGTATTTTCACAGTGTAATTATTAGACATTTGGGATATTGTATTGTTACATAGCTCTATTTGAAAGCTTTCGTTTGATCCAGAAACTACCACTTATTTCTCTTACTGTTCGACGTTTTTCATTGATTAATTATTTTATTTTTACTCAGTTTTTTTTATCTTTTACGACTAAGTTGTGCACACTGGAATTTCTTATTTTTATTCATGTATTATCAGATATTTAATCTACGTTATCAAATGAGCTTAGAGTCATGAATAAATAGAATACAGTAGAGAAGATATTCACTAGACAACTTCACCTTTTTATTAGTTACTGTGTTGGAAGCAGCTTAAGAACCTATAGATGTTAAGGTATTAGTCATTGGTCATTGTTCACTAGTCCTAATGACAACATAAGTTAGTGAATCAATAATCACGTCAGAGATCGGAACTGATTTCATAATAAATTGCCCGATCACATAAGTCTAAATGGAATTCAAGTATCAGTTCTTTTTGAAAAGAGAGCATTATCCGACATAGCAGCTGTGCGTTACACCTTAATTTACTTTTTTTTATTATATCCCTTGATTGAATTCAAATTAGTGTTGAAGTAGGTAGTCCATACTTCTTAATGATGTGGAATTAAATATCATCACCGTTCATATCAATCTACAATGTATGTGAGATTCTTGTTGAAACTCATGTTTATCTTATCCAGTCCTTAAAAGATATATACTAATCTACTGAGATAATCATTTTCTATTGTGATCCATGATTGATTTAGCTTATTAAAAATATTTGTATAGAACTTACTAAAAAGCCGAAATTATTGCTCAATCTATTTTTCCATGCCATATACAAAAAAAACATGATCATTTATTGAAATATGTATGTTTGTGTGCAAACTTACATTCTATTATTTAAATAAATAAAACTCTTGTCATACTACAATAAGCCACGTAAATGATTATCAATTCTGAACTGATTATATTTTCGATATTGTTAACATCGAATTATTGCCGATTTGTACAATTTATTGTAAGTCAACTAATAAGTTTTGTTTAGTGAATATTATAATTACGAAAAAAAGAAAAAGAATTCACTTTAAATTTACATATTGAATATGTGATAAGACTAGAAACTAAGTATATATGGTAAGTAAATAAATGATGAAAAATGTTATCACCATTGTTATATATTTATGTCGGTAACAAATAAAAACTGATACGAATGTTAATTATAAACTTTTAGAAAAGTTTCGTTATTGGAAGAATTTTTTTGAAAAAAATTTATATTGAATATTTCACATTCATTATCTAAGAATTTTGAAACTATTGCCATAGATACTAAAAATAGGGGAATAAATTGTTATAATAAATAAGTCATAATAATTCATTCTATTTGTTGAAATCATGAGTCAATTGATACTAGACTACTATGGAAAACGAAATGGCGCCACTGCACACCATTGTCTTTAGTGAGTTGATATCTCACAACAGACCTAGTTGAACTCTATTGGTAACGGTTTTGTTAGGTATGCAGAGGAATATGCCAATAATTATCGTGTTAAGTCGAATGATGTCCTTGAACGTTAAATGGACATTTCCCATTGGTCGATGTTTGTTTCACTTGTTAAATATTGTGTAAATGTTGTTTTCTATTTTATGGTACGATGTGGTTTGTTTAACTCCGCCTGTAGCTCTTCTAGAGTTACTGCCGGTCCCAAGCCCGGGTAAAGGAGGAGGGTTGGGCATGGGGTTAGCGTCCCCATCCCGTAGAAAACTAACTCGCTAAAAAAACGCTTACCAGAAAAAATATTTCAAACCATTTTAACTCTGCCCTGAGAGTTAGAAGGTCTTCATTTAGAAGAATTATGACGCTTCATGGTGAAAGCCGAGTTCCTTCGGAAGCCACGAGGCCGATGCCCCTTCTAACAACCAGAGCAAAAATTTTTATAGGTACATGGAACGTCCGAACAATGTGGGAAACCGGGAAGACCAGTCAAATAGCAATGGAAATGAGGAGATACAACTTAGCAGTACTGGGGATCAGCGAAACTCACTGGACCCAAGCTGGACAGAAAAGACTAGCTACGGGAGAGATGCTGCTATACTCCGGTCACGAAGAGGAAAATGCTCCACACACTCAGGGAGTTGCTCTAATGCTGTCCAAAGTAGCACGAAATGCACTTGTAGGATGGGAATCTCACGGATCCAGAATCATCAAAGCATCATTCAAAACAAAGAAGGAGGGGATCTTGATGAATATTATCCAATGTTATGCACCCACCAATGATAGCAACGACGACATTAAAGATCAGTTCTACGAGCGGCTGCAGTCAGTCATTGAGAAATGCCCAAGAAAGGACCTCACCATTCTAATGGGAGATCTAAATGCCAAAGTCGGAATAGACAACATCGGATATGAAGATATTATGGGGCAACATGGACTGGGAGAGAGGAACGAAAATGGAGAAAGATTTGCAAATTTGTGTGCATTCAACAAATTAGTCATAGGAGGCACAATATTTCCACATAAGCGTATACACAAGGCTACATGGATCTCACCGGACCACACTACAGAGAACCAGATAGACCATATTTGCATCAACAAAAATTTCCGAAGGACAATGGAAGATGTGAGAACCAGGAGATGAGCTGACGTAGCTTCAGATCACCACCTAGTTGTAGCCAATTTGAAACTGAAGCTAAAAAAGAACTGGACAAGTGGACAAACAGCAATACAAAGGTTCAATACAGCCTTCCTTCGAGATACTGTCAAACTCAATGAATTCAAGATAGCTCTCAACAACAGGTTCCAAGCCTTACAAGATCTACTGAAAGAAGAAGAAACTACTATGGAGGACAACTGGAAAAGTATCAAGGAAGCATTAACTTCAACGTGTCAAGAGGTTCTCGGTCTAAAGAAATACCATCATAAGGAATGGATCTCTACGAAAACACTGGACAAGATCAAAGAAAGGAAGAACAAGAAGGCAGGAATAAACAACAGCCGAACACGAGCAGAGAAAGTCCAAGCACAAGCTGAATACATAGAAGCAAACAAGCAAGTGAAGAGGAGCATTAGAGCTGACAAGAAGAAATACGTGGAAGAATTAGCAACGACGGCAGAAAAAGCTGCTAGAGAAGGAAATATGAGACAACTTTACGATACAACGAAGAAACTAGCAGGGAAATACAATAAACCAGAGAGGCCGGTCAAAGACAAGGAAGGCAAGCCAATCACTGAAATTCAACAACAGCGTAACAGATGGGTAGAATACTTTGAGGAACTCCTGAATAGGCCGGCTCCTATGAATCCACCGAAAATCGAAGCAGCACACACAGATCTTCCTATAGATGTCAACCCACCAACGACGGAAGAAATTAGAGCGGCCGTCAGACAAATCAAGAACGGGAAAGCAGCAGGACCCGACAACATACCAGCTGAAGCACTGAAATCAGACGTCGAAGTAACCACAAGCATGCTTTACCCTCTATTCAAAAAGATTTGGGAGGAGGAACAAGTGCCAATGGACTGGAAAGAAGGGCACCTCGTCAAGATTCCAAAGAAAGGAGATCTGAGCAAATGTGAAAACTACAGAGGCATAACACTACTGTCAATACCAGGGAAAGTCTTCAACAGAGTTTTGCTGAACCGGATGAAGGATGCAGTAGACGCTCAACTTCGAGATCAACAAGCTGGATTCCGTAAGGATCGGTCGTGCACAGACCAAATTGCAACACTACGGATCATCGTCGAACAATCGGTTGAGTGGAACTCGTCACTATACATCAACTTCATTGATTATGAAAAGGCATTTGACAGTGTAGATAGGAGGACATTATGGAAACTTCTTCGACACTACGGAATTCCTGAGAAGATTGTCAATATTATCCGGAACTCATACGACGGACTACAGTGCAAGGTCGTGCATGGAGGACAGCTGACAGATGCATTCCAAGTAAGGACCGGGGTCAGACAAGGCTGTTTACTCTCTCCCTTTCTCTTTCTTCTGGTGGTCGACTGGATTATGAAGACCTCGACACCTGAAGGAAAACACGGAATACAATGGACAGCTCAGAACCAATTAGACGATCTGGACTTCGCAGATGACCTAGCTCTTATATCACGTACACACGAACAGATGCAGATGAAGACAGCCAGTGTAGCAGCAGTCTCTGCATCAGTAGGCCTCAGTATACACAAAGGGAAAACGAAGGTCCTCAAATTCAAAGCGGAAAACAGCAATCCAATCACTCTTGATGGCGAAACTCTGGAAGATGTAGAATCCTTCACATACCTGGGAAGCATCGTCGATGGACAAGGAGGTTCAGATGCAGACGTAAAGGCGAGGATTGGCAAAGCAAGGGCCACATTCCTACAATTGAAGAACATATGGAATTCAAAACAACTTTCAACCAATATCAAAGTGAGAATCTTCAATACGAACGTCAAGGCAGTTCTACTGTATGGAGCTGAAACTTGGAGAACTACAACAACCACAATCAAGAAAGTACAAGTATTTATAAATAGCTGTCTACGCAAGATACTCAACATCCATTGGCCAGATACCATCAGCAATAGCCTTCTGTGGGAGAGAACAAACCAACTTCCAGCTGAAGAGGAAATTAGGAGAAGACGATGGAAATGGATAGGACATACATTACGCAAATCGTCAAACTGTATCACGAGACAAGCCCTAACTTGGAATCCTGAAGGGAAGCGGAAAAGAGGAAGGCCAAAGAACACATTACGTCGGATAATAGAAGCAGATATGAAAAGGATGAATTACAACTGGAAGGAGCTGGAAAGGATTGCCCAGGACAGGGTTGGATGGAGAATGCTGGTGAGCGGCCTATGCTCCTTCACGAGGAGTAACAGGCGTAAGTAAGTAAGTAAGTGTGGTTTGTTTGGTTAATATATAAGTAGAGTATGTCTGAAATACAATGATTCATAACTCAGAGGCCGTGACTTGCGTTCTTGACTCAACTGGCTGGGCTAGACAGGGAAGCAGGGCCAATCAGTACCCTCGGTCGTCCTTACTTGTTTTCCGTGTTACTGTGATCGATCGATATAAACGCTGCTTATCAAAACCTGCAGCCACGCGTTACAACAGGCTTCTCACTTAAACTCCAGGAAATGCCTCTTGAAGTCAGTCACTAGTGAGCAGACGATTATTATCACAAGGGGTTTTGTGGAGATTTTTATCAAATAATGATCAATGCTATATACCACTCCCTATATAAGAATATTGTTATGACCTTGCATATCTGACTTTTCTATCACGCGACTTATCAACCAATCAGGATCCGGCTTACACAATCTTTGCACTATGCCAAACCAATGACGTTCAACCGGTGTGGACAGTTTAGCGTCCTTATTGGTCCTATGTCCTCCGAGCCCTTCCACTTGAGTCCAGAACACAATACCAGCTTCCGTAATATGAATCGAATCATTTATTTCCGACATACTTGGTTTATATATCAATCAGACAGACCACAACGTACCATAAAATAGGAAATAATATTTGTACACAAATAAGCCCAAAAAGTGGCTGTGAATGTGGGAGGCAGTAGTTAATAAACTGAACATAACTTAAGAACCGTAAATCGTACAACAATAAATTATAGGTCAAAATAAAGCTTATCATAAAAGGAATATAAATATACATAGTGTAATTGTTGAGTAGTTATACAATAAGAATATTTATAGAATATTAGTCCATGAATAGTCCTTGGAAGTTACCTGTAATTTAATCTTCACCGGATATAACAAATATTTAAATATCTGATCTTGTTTTTATGGGCCAATCAAATTTTAATAATGAATTGCACTAAAATCGATCATTTATC